AATTCAGATGCATTCCGACACCGAACTCTGAGCTGCATCAAGCCTAGGCTCCGAGTTGCTTAAACACACTTGAGACCTGGCGCCGGATCATATGAAGCCCTTTAGTCAGGATCAGATGGATGGCAATAACCTAATTAGCCAGCAGAGCACACGTGACACCGGCCCCGCCGGCACCCTGGGTCAAAGACACAGCTGGACTCATTCACCAACAAGGTGATCACCACCTTAAAGGGGAACTGGGAGAGAATACGGAAACTTGGCCAGGAAAATCTGGAGGGAAGTGTGCAGCTGCGGTTTTCAAAGAGAATTTCAGCAGTAAAGAGAAGCGGCAAAAGGGCATGGGCTGAGGGAAGAGTAATCATCTGTTCTACCAGATACCTGGTGTTGCAAGGACCTCACTCCCTATTCTGCATCCCTCACGAAGTTTGAACCTTCGAGAAAGTTAAGTGAGCTTGAGGTGCTGGGGAGCATAGCAAGTGCCCAAACCACATTTTGAAGTCTTCCTACCCCTGCCAAGGAAACGGGATATCTATGCTTAAGTACCAAGATATTCTAATTCATGGAGGGGACGGGTAAGCTCCTCAAAGATTACATCTTGCTGCTGCCGCCAAAGACCTTCTCAGACTACAGCCACTGGATTTCCAGTCTGGGGCTCAAGCATTCAACACAAAGTGGGCAGAGCAAAGTTATTCGCAGACAAGACCAGCGTAGGGGCCGGCCGGTCACGCTAAGGGAAAGGCAAGTTTTTATTTTTCCGAGACAAGCCAAAATAACCTTACAAATACCTAATGTATAACCCCAACCACCAGGGCCTGTTCGCAAAGCCTCAAGGACGTGGCTTGGACCGAAAAGTCGGTCTGCAGCGCCAAAACCCTCCGGATTAGCCTCTGCCTGTCAACGTGGACTCCAGCCCCTGCTTTGTGCTTGAGCTGTACAATATCCAAAGCCAAGTAAACCTTCCAGGACCAAGACTACTTACTGACTGCACTTTGCTTTTACCCCCCGCCCCTCCTGCATCCTAAACACGGGTCAGGGAGGCTTCATGCCCAAAGGTTTGTCGATTTGCATATGGACTCCCACAAGCTGCCCGGGTCCATTAAATAAGAAAAAAACTTTCTCTGCTGAGTAGTAAGGACACAACTAGCCGCCACCTCTCCAAAAAAGCAAAGAAACAACAACAAAAACCCACGTACACACACACACACAAAAAGTGAGGACCGTGAAGGACTGCATCCCAACGCCGAGCGCGGCTGGCGGACGCCGGCCTGCAGCTGCGCTCTCCGGCCGTGGGCGTAGAGGCCGCGCGGGACGGAGAAAGGCGGGCGAGACCGCCGCCCCCGGGCCTGTGGGGACTCGGCGGGGCGTTGGGGCGGCCGCGCCGGGAGACGAAGGCCGAGCCGGGAGACCAGGGGCCCCGCCGCCGGCCCGCCGCCCAGGGACCCAGGAACCTTCCCCGGGGCCAGCGGCCCGCACCTGCCGCCCGCCCGCCCGCCGCCCCTTTCGGTCAACAGCCTCCCGCCCGCGGGACTCACAGCTTCAGCCGCTCGTAGGTAGTCGCCGCCATCCCGCAACACCACCTCTTTCCTCTTCTTTCTGCCCGCCCCGCCCCGCGTCGCCACCTCGGCTCCGGCGCTACCGGTCACCCTGGCGCGGCGGCTGCAGCGCCCAGGTCCCACCCCTCCTCACGCCCCGCCAGGCCAGCGAGCGAACGGGAGGCGGCCGTGGACAAACTTCGAGCGCGCACTGGCGCACGCAGGAGACGCGTCGCACGTAAAGGGATGGAGCGCAATGACGTCGCCGCTGCGGATTGGCGGAGCGGGTTTGCAGGGGGAAGGAGGAGCCTAAGGAGCCCTAGGCTGGCTCTGCGGCGGAATTGCAGCGCTGGTGTCAGGAAGCCTGTTGAAACTGCGTAAGCGGTAATCTACATTGCTGCGAGGGTTTGGGGTGTGCCGGGCCAGTGGCGCAATGGATAACGCGTCTGACTACGGATCAGAAGATTCTAGGTTCGACTCCTGGCTGGCTCGAGGCGTACACTTTTGCCTCACCTGGGTTAGATGATCCAGGCCTTTCTTGGGGAGGACTTATGATTAAAGTGTAAAGGCCAAATATCTGAAATCTTAACGTTATTTTTGCCCGAAATGTCATCTTTTAAGCTGTGTTTGGAACCCGGAGTTGTACGAGATGGTTTGTAAATTGCAAAGCTCCCTAGTAATGATCCACTTGAAGAGTCTCTGTAAAACGGGGCACATTTAGGAAGGCACAGCTGGAAAGGTAGCAGTTTGGAGTGCGGTGGGCAGGGGAGGAGGAGCGTACCATGGCCGGAGCTTAGCCACCGGATGACGCAAAGGCGCACTGAGCGCCGCAGTTCTGGCCTTTTCCCGGTGGAAAGGAAGCCGGGCGGTGGTATGGAGAGCGGTGCACTGTCAGGTTACAGGGGTGGGGGAGTGGGCTCCATCCTCGACCCGCTTTGGGGACGGAACTGCTGCAGTGCGGCTGCGCGCCTCTGAGCCGCTCCGCGGTGCAAGGAGTCTGCAACTCTGTCCTTTGAGATCTCCGGGTCCCAGGGTAACCTGGCCCCACAATGCCATAGGGAAACCTTAAGACACGGTGTTTTTACGGTAAGAAGACCCAGGCAATCGCGTCTAGTCCCCTCATATAGGTGCCTGGCTCAGAGACCTGGGAAAGCCCGAAACGTCTGCGGTGGAGAGGGGACTCGAAGCCCGGGAGTGGCCGAGGCATCCAACACTGTCCATTAACCAGTCACACTCATCGATTGATTAATCTGTCCAATATAACGTGTTTTCCTCCTGAGGAAATATAGAAAATTTGTAAACTACCGAAAATTATTGGGAATAAAAACAATGCCAGTTCTCATCGCGAGATCATTACTATTAACATCATAATTTCCCCCCCTAGAGGCCTTTTTTTTTTCTTCCACATTTTTAATATGGATTTACCCACACGTATTTTTCCAAATCCCCGCTTGTACCAGAAATGTCTGTTTTCTTATTGTCCCTTTAGCTTTTGGCCTGAGATTTAAGGTCATTAAATATTCTCCGAAGATATTTCATTAGAGAATATTTTAAGCATTACTCTTTTGTTGGGAATTTGGGTTGTCAGTTTTACACTTTTTAAAAAGAATTGTGTTGAATTATTTCATATACGTCATAAATTTCTAGATGTGAAATTATCAGGTTTTCATTTTTTTGTTGTATTTTTTTATTTTTATTTTTGGGGTGTTCATTTTTAAGGTCCATTTTATGGACATTTTTACCCCATGGTACATATTTTAAAATTGCCCTCCAAAAAAACCCAATAAACTTCTATCAATAACATGTTTCCTTGCATTCTAATCAGCACTGTTTTACAAGTTTCATTATTTCCTTGCAATTTTCATAATTGAAAAACGAAAGTTCCTTTTACTTGATGTATATATTTTCTCTTGGTATAGGCATTCAATGTTTTCTTGTAGATTTCTTAGACTTTTTCATAATATAAAGGATATGAATTTTTTACTATCAAAGATTGCATTGCAATCTTTTCCAGTTTATTGTTTACCTTTTCCTTATATTTTTGCACCTAGAGTAATTTTCACTATCATATATTCCAATGTACCAATATTTTTTACTTTATGGTTTCCTCTATTGCATATGGGCTCTTTTCAAATTGTTTTGTGTTTGTATTATTTTTTCCCATTTACTTTTACTCCATTTGTAATTTATTTTGTTGGTCATTCCAATGGAAAAATCAAGTAAGCTGAAAGCCACATTTTTATTGATTTCAGAGAGGGAGAGCGAGAGGGAGATAGAAACATCAATGATGAAAGAGAATCATGGATTGGCTGCCTCCTGCACTCCCCACACTGAGGACCGAGCCCGAAACCCAGGCATGTGCCCTTGACCAGTATCAAACCTGGGACCTTTCAGTCCGAAGGCCAACGACGCTCTATCCACTGAGCCAAACTGACTAGGTCCCTGTCACTCTTAATTAAGCAATTAAGGCTGTAAGCTCTTTACTTGGACTAATTCAATACTACCACAATTCCCTAAGGTAAGTTCTGTTATAATCCCCATTTTTAAATATCAGGAAACTAAATTTGCTTACGGTCACTGAGCAATTAGGTGGTGGAGCCTGAGTTAGACCTTGAATCTGGGCTCTTGACCCCAAATCCATTCTGCCAGTAGGCTTATTGTATACCAGAGGGTGACCACATGAGTGGACACAGGGCCATTCCCTCTCTGGGCAGGAATGGTGTTCCCATATGCTCCTCCCTCCCATACCCCTTGCTAGTTAGCAATCAGAAGACCTCATCTCTCATACATTGCAGGAGGATGTTGACGGCTACATAACTAGGCAATATAAAATTTCCAGCTCCATTATAACCTATGGGACCACCTTTGTATATGCAATCCACCATTGACTGAAACCATGGTCATCTCAGGACAAAATTTCAGTCCCTTCCCCGTTCTGACACCCATATGTTCCTTTAAGAATCCAGAGTTCTAGTGTCCGGGGGTTCAGTTCCGGTTCAGGGCACATGCCCGGGATTGCAAGCTTGATCCCCAGTAGGAGGCGTGCAGGAGGCAGCTGATCAATGATTCTCATCATTGATGTTTTTTTTTTTTAAATATATTTTATTGATTTTTTACAGAGAGGAAGGGAGAGAGATAGTTAGAAACATCGATGAGAGAGAACCATCGATCAGCTGCCTCCTGCACACTCCCTACTAGGGATGTGCCCACAACCAAGGTACATGCCCTTGACCGGAATCGAACCTGGGACCCTTCAGTCCGCAGGCTGATGCTCTATCCACTGAGCCAAACCGGCTTCGGCATCATTGATGTTTCTACTCTCTCCCTCTCACTTCCTCTCTGAAATCAATAAAAATATGTTTTTTAAAAAAGCGGGGGGGGGGGGGGGGATCCAGAGCTCTAAAAGGAGACCAAACGCAGTTTACAATGAGCTTCCTACCCCACACACAAAAGACCCGGCCAACATTATCAAGTTGGAGAGCACTTTAATGGTCTACAAATTGATGCAGTTCTATTGTTATGACATGTTAAAATCATTTTATAGAAACAGTAAAACTTCAAATAATTTTTTAGGAACAACATTGTGCATAACTTTATAGAAACAGTACATTTTTTAATAAATTTGTAGAAAAGAAGAGACACCGAGGAAAATAATTTTCTCTGCACAGGTGACATTTTCATGCTCTCGATGGAAATTTCCCACATCTGCCCCGTTCTGGCTCAGCACAATGGATAGCCAATATATGTTGTTCATTTTTTATCTATTACTTTAAACAGTTACTTCCAATAGTCACTGGGAAATTAGGACTATTCGTGGCACAAAGGAGAGCACAAAGAATTTGGTTTTCCTGGCAGACAGGGTCTTATTAACAACCACACCAAGCAACCAGTTTGGGGGGCAAGTCTCGCACATATTCTTTGCAAGAGTATCAGCAGCCCTCACGGTTCTCACACTTTCACACAAAAACGGCCTGCAAAGGATTGTGGATAATTCTCAAGTCCTAACATTCCTATTTTTCCTTTTGTGTGACCCCCGCCCATGGAAACAAAGGCGATGGCCGCCCTTGAAGGTGATGGAACTCCGCAACAATCCCTTCCACCACCCAGGACTCAATGGCATAACCTCAGGACTCAGCTGAACGAGGCTGTCACTCCAGCACTAACCGCCGAGCAAGTAAAGTCCTGTGGGGGCAGGGCAGGGGACAACAGGCAGTGACAGGGACAGGACTAAAGGCGCTGCCATGGTGAGAGATGGATAAATCACTCTTTACTCAGTGACAGACGGGAAACATCAGAGACAGAGATCCTGATAGAGCGGGCCAACCTGGGTTACAACCTTTAGACCACCCAGGCAGTTTTTGAAAGGCCCGACCTGAGGGGGTGGGGGAGAGGCGATGGGAGGCAAAAAAAATAAAAAATAAAGGGCAATGAGGCAAGGGAGAAGGCTGGAGGCTGGTGCTGGGGTTTGGAATCAGGCCATAATTCTCTCCTCACTTAGCTAAAGTCAGAGTTGTCTAGGGAACTTGGGAAGGGCTATTTGCTCTAACTTTTACAACCAACATATTCATCCTGGTCTACCAGGCACTTGTTTTCTAAGTACAACCTCATTACAGGTCCACTTGGCTAATAACACACAGAATGTTTAAAATAACCAGGTAGGCGAACATCTCCTTGTGGCTTATGTGCAAGGGCCTGAGCAGGAGAGAGAAACTCGGGAGTCCTGCCTGGTACCCTCTCCAGGGACGCAGATCACAAGAGAGGTTGCTGCCCGGGTTTCGTCTGGTAATTCTCATTGTTCTTCAATGACACAAAAAAATGCCATATTGACAGCGAGATCTGAATCACCCCAATAAAGGCTATTTTAAAAATCTCACTTCAAAGACGGAATCACAGATTTAACGAACTAGTTACCCAATCTGCAAACAAACGCCTCCTACTTCTGTCCGTGGCTCTCTCGCTGGACTCGAAAGTGGAACAAAGGTGAGTCCGCGAGGCCAGAAACATTCGTGGTTGGCAAAGACGGGCTGAGACGCGTTGGCTGGCTTCCTCTGCCCACAGCCTTGCCCAGGCTAAACTGGATGACTTGATGGGGAGAGAGGGGTGTGGCCCCAGGGGTCCCTTCCCCAGCCCCACTCATTCACAGGTTTTCAGGAGGCTCAGCCTATGAAAAGGAACCAATGATAGCACATAGTCTGGAAGTGGCATCTGGCCAAAGGACCCCAGTAGAATGACTTTCATGCAACAACCCATGGTGTCAATTCTCGCATCTTACAGGCAACTGTTACCGAATGAGCCAAAAACGTGACCTGGAAGGGAAGCTGGGCCAGGGGGAAAGTCTGGGAGTCCCTGGGTGTCTCCCCTGACCACCCTCCTCGGCCCCAGTCCCCCAGGCCCCTGGCTCAGGGTGCCAGGTGAGGAGGCAGAGGGCAGACGCCAGCTGTCGTGCCCCAGCCTAGCTGGCCGTGGTGAGATGGCCCCAGTGCTCCAGCAACAAGGCTCCGAGTCCCTCTCCACAGGCTGAGAGGGCAAATGCCAGCCCACCTTTGACAAACATGAACGTATGTATCTTATTGAAATACCAAGGGATCCTGACCTCTGGCCTCAGGACTGTGACATGCAAGGCAAATTGTGCCTCCTCAGTTCAGAAGTTGCCTTGAAAACTCGCCAGGGGGTGGCCCTCCAGACCATGCCACCCCCCGGGAGCCAGCACGAAGAAATAGGTAAGGCAGTAGCACCCAGTTTCCACCTATTCCCTGCTGGCCTTTGGTTAGGGGCACAGGGCCCTGACCCACTGGAGTGTGGCTGGCATGAAGCTGGATGTTCCTAAGGCACCGAAGAAGGAATCTGAGCCCACGGCGGCGGTCCACTTCCTCCTTGACCTGCGATTTGGTGATGCTCGTATCTGTGAGGTATTTTGTGTGTGTGGAAGACTGAAAGTGGAGGGAAACAGTTAAGACAAAAGAAGACAAAAGCACTGTACCTAATACCGGTTTCTTCCAATGTAATAATGCCGGTGCCAAGATTGGGGCAAGAGAGAAACCCGTGAAATGACTGTAATAACTTATCCTCAGGCGCGCCCTCCACCGGGCCGAGAGGCCTCACACACGCACACACACTCCTCGTGGGTAAGGGGGTGGCTCTCAGGACGCGGGACTTCCAGAAGCCCAGCCTGACCTGAGCTGAACGGGCACGTGGGATCCTGAGACCTGCCTTTGCCAAAGCGACTCCCAAGTCACAGACCCTGGAGAGCGCCACAGGGGCAAAGGGCAAACAGTGGGCCAAGAGGCCTGGTGCCTGCACCAAGGTCTCTGTCCCAGGGCACTCCGCTAGGCTAGAGCGGGGCAGGTCTCCGCCAGCCCCCCCGCCGCCCCCCCCCTGACTGCCCACAGGGAGTGCAGATCTGCGGGGACACGCAGAGTGCTGGCGGGGGGGGGGGGGGGGGGGGAGGGCGGGGGACAGGAGGGCGCCCCCGTCTCGCTTATTTCAGCATTGGCTCTGGTTCACCTAGAAAATGCTCCCTAAGATGCAGAGCACGTGTTCGGGCTTCCCTCTCGCCCTAACACCATTACAATTTGCAGCCCTTCCACCGAATGAAGCTCTGCGGGGGAAGGAAGCCCTAAATCACTGCGCGCGCGCGTGGGGCGGGGGGGGGGGGGGCACGTGGGGTGCAATATTTCCCTGGAGGGAGAGGAAGGGTTGAATGCATCGGCAGCTGGACCCTCTCCCCCAAGATATTATGAATACGCTCAGCGCACACCTTGCCCTCTGAAGCGACCACCTCCCGCCTCAGGCCGCCCGCTTGCTGCAGCGTCTTCCTGAGCGTTCTGATGCGCACAGGGCAGCCAGCAAGGCCCTTGGAAAGACACACCCCAGACGGGTAGGGTTGAAAGGAAAGGGCCCCACGCATGCGCACAGGCACTCGCTGGCCACGCCTCCCCCCCTCCCGCCCCCCGAACTCCACTCCCAGAATCAACAGGCGGACTCGTCCTTTGCGCCCTGGCCCCTCCCCGCCCCGCGGTCTGGGAGAGGCTCCGCTAGAAGTGGTGCTGGTGCAGGGCCGCGGGCGAGGGGCCTTTCTCCAGCCGCTTGACGTGGCAGGGCTGGCAGAAGAGATGGTCCTCCAGGGGGTAGCAGCGGTGGCCGTCCTCGTCGTTGAGCTCCAGGCCGCAGTCCTGGGAGAGGCAGAAATGTCCAGTGGCAGGCAGCCAAGCAAAAGGGCTGCCAAAGGTCGGCGTCCCGGGAACCAGCGGTGTGGCTCGCTGGGGGTGGCAAACGCAGGGCCCCAGCCCCCCTCCCCGGGGAAGGTCTGGGCTGCACTGTCCCACCCCCGGGCCACCGGCCACACGTCCCCCTCCTGCACTTGAGATGGGGCTGGTGGGAAATGGGATGTGATGTCAGTGTAAACACACGCCAGATTTCCAAGACTTAATGTGTGTGTGTGGGGGGGGGGGGGGGGGGGGGGGGCGCGGGGGGAAAGGATATAAAATGGCTCATGAAAAATTTTTTATAGTGACTACAAGTTGAAATGGTAACACTCTGGATAGAATGGGCTGAATAAATTTTATCACAAAAATCGATCCCGACTATTTCTTCTACCTTTTTATGTGGCTACTAGGAAACAAAATGACACGCAGGCCCTGAATCTGTGGTTCTCGATTTCCACCGGACGGCGCTGGTCTGGATGTGTGGAGGGGACAGTGGAGCTTGTAACTTCACCTTTGCCCCCAGTGCCTGGGGCACCACTGACAAGTCCCACCTACTTCCTCAGCCCCAGAGGTGGGATGGAGCTATCTGTACTCACACCCCTGTTCTCCTGCCCCAAACCAACCCCCCCCCCGCCCCCCATCACAAAATAAGTCTCATCTCCTTGCACTTAGTTCTGGCCGGAAGGCCACGGGCTCTTAAGCGTTTGCACCCTTCACAAGGCTGGTGAGGGGCGACCCCTGGCTGGCCTACCGGTCCTGGGCACCCATGGCTCCTTCAGCCTGGGGGTCATACAAGGATAGGGAAGGGGCAGATGCCCCCCCACCCCACCTTCACACCGATCAGCCACATCCCTGTTTCCAAGGGGGGTGAGGTGGGGGCGAAATTTCTTCATGATTTCCAGGGCTCGGCTCAGAACGAGGCTCCTGGCAGATGGAACAGCCTACACAAGCATGTCAAACTCGCAGCCAGCGGGCCGGCCGCGTGTCTGACAGGCTTGGTACAAGCTGGAGGGGAGGGGGTCTAGTCCCCACATCGAACACCTGCCTGAAGACATGGCCCCCAAACAGGACCTGAACCCGCATTCCCTATGCTCCTCCCACTCCGCAGCTTCAGGCGGGGCAGCTGCCACGGACTCAGGCCTTAGAGAAAATAGTAAAGACCCTCATGCCCAAACATCTGCATCCTCTCCGACCTCTCCTCCCCCTTCCGCCCCCAGAACAGGCTCCATCCCATCTCCTCCATCAGCTCTGACGGCAGCCCCAGGCCTGAACCTAACCGCCTCCTGCCACAGTCAACTGGGCCAGTTTCGTCTTAGACTGCTAAGCGGGTTTGGGGGCCTGGGCAGGGAGAGGCCTACCTCGCAGTGGTAACACTCCACGTGGTAATCTCTGTCCATGGACACGACACGGATGGTCTCATCTGAGCCCTGGCTCAAGAAAAAGCAGGTATGAGAAGTTGGGGGGCCCACTGGGTTCCACATGCAGTGGGGGTGTCGGGGGGGGGGGATTCTGAGTAACAAGCAGGCGGCCTTAGAAGATACTAACACGGGGGGAAAGGGCACATTGACTTATGGGAAATGGAGGGACAGGAGTCCCACCCTCTGGGATGTCGTTGACACTGAAAAAGCCACCTGCTCACCTTCTACGCTACGAGTTAGCATTACGTCATTACGTCGGAGAGTCTGCCCTGACTGCGGGGACAAACAGGGCACCAGCAGGGCATTGGGCTGGGGAAGCCGGCGAAAGAGAAAGGGGCTCCTTGGGGAGGACACGAGGGACAGAGCCTGGAAATGACCCCAGGAGAAATTCCTGTCGTGGATGGCCCGGGTCTGAGGGGCATCTCACCTCAGGTGGAAGGATGGGGAGCCCGCAGGCTGCACACTTGGGGGCCAACACCCTGTGGGGAGAGCAGAGAAGCCGTGAGTTGCAGGTTGTGCTTCTGGAGGGCAAGGCCCAGGGTTCCTGGGAGCCCTCCTCCCAGCCCGGCCCTGCCCCCTCCAGCCCTGGACAGAGGGCCTGGCTCGCTCACTGGGACTCGCTTCCTCAGGCTTCTTCGGGACCCATCCCCAGCGCTAATGAGCACATCTGGCCCCTCGCTCTACTCGGAACAGAGACTGACTGTCTGCTTTCTCCCCTTGAGGAGCCTGGTACAGGCCCAGGCACACCGAGGGTGGAGCCAGCTGAACCGGCGCCGTCTAAGTTAGCAAAGCTGGAGCCACAGGGCCTGGAGGATGTGATCTGGGGTTTTGGTGTTTTGTTTTCCAGTAAACACAATTCTTTAATCAGTTTCTGTCTGCACAGACATCGCTGAGCTCCAAGGCCCCTGCTCCACCCCTCAAATCATGAGGCCTTTGCCGGGCTGTGGGCTAATGGACAAGCTGCCTGTAGACAAGCCTTAGCAGGTGTCTGCTGTCACTGCTGTGTGCCTATCGCGTGGCTCACACGTGCGGCTCCCGGCCCTTCTTACTTGTGGTAATCTCGGACACAGTAGATCTTGTTCTCTGAGTCCACAGTGAAGGGCACCCCATCCAAGCACTCGTTACAGATGACACAGCGGAAACAGCCAGGGTGGTAGGACTTCCCCAGGGCCTGCAGGATCTGGGGACACAAAGGACCAGGCGGGACTCAGCGGGATGATGGGGAGGAAGGGAGAACATCAGGCGGAGGGACCACGTGAACAATCACGCCACGCGAGGCACACACACCAAGTTTCACGTGGACCACGGTCAAGAGGCGACCGGGCAGGAAAGCTAGTGCAGTCACATGTATAAACGGGAGGAGGCCAAACAGGACCTTCCTCCCGAGTTCATAAAAACTCCGGGAGGGAATTTCAATGGCTCCCTGTCAGAAAGCCTATGGTTCTTTGTAGGAAATGGCGCATAGTAGGACCACAAAAGGATCCATCCCGGATCTGGGGAACAGCGAGTACGTGGAAAGGTTAAAGGAAATTCCCCGTGCAAATGCAGAGCTCGGAGAAAACCTCCAACTCCTTCTCAGCGGCTTTGACCCTGCGGCATGCTAAGCCGTGACTCGGCCGATTATCTCAAATCCAAGTGCAAGCAAAGCCTCTTTGTTGTTGTTGTTGTTTTGTTTGTTTTTGTTGTTGTTGTTGTTTTAAACACAAAGAAGAGAAAGCCCATAAACCTCCTTCCTCTCAGTGTCACTGACCCGGATGTGACACCTGGAACTGTAAGAGGCCACCCTGAAGTCTGGATAGCGCTGAGACGCGAAGGGAGGGGAGGGGAGAAGAGCTGGAAAGAATGTCCTTGGTGACATCAGCACGTAACCAGGTTCACCCACTGTGGAACTGCCCACCTCCACACTCCTGTTCAGTGAGATAAAGCATTGTTCCTCTTAAGTCGGTGGTTCTCCAAGTGCAATCCCTGGACCAGCAGGAATGAGTATTCATGTCCACCGGAGACATGCCTGAAAGTGTTCACAGCTCTATTCCTAAGAAGCCCCCAATGGGAACCACCCAAACCCCACCAGCAGGAGAACGGATAAGCAAACTGCTATAGCCCTACGATGGACTTCCACTTAGCAAGGAAAATACCTACGCTACCAACACAGGTAACCACCAACGAATGAATCTCAAAAACGTTTTCCCAAGTGAGAAACGGCAGTCCCCAAGGAGTCTACACTGTGTGATTCCATCTACACGGCGCTCCAGGACCGGCGAAACAGATCGGAGGCGCGAGATGTCAGGATAGTGGGGACCGCTGTGGGAGGGGGATCTGCACGGGGAGGGGGCCAGGGAGGAACCTTCTGGGGTGCAGACTGCGGGATGTGATCTACGTCCTGATCTGGGAGGTGCTGACGTGGGCATCTGCAAGTGTAAAAATTCACCCAGCTGCATGCATACTTGGGGTGTGTGTGTCCTTCACTCCATGAGTTGCTTCTCAATAAAAATGGTTGTTGTTGTTTTTTTAAAGGCAACACTTAGCAATTCCCTTCTCCTGAAAGGAATGAATGGATCAGTAAAAAGAGATTTAACTCTTTACACCTAAAACGAAGTTCTATGTCATTTTCTCTAGTATATTAAATAAAACCTCCAGGGCCACTCTGCATTGGTGAGCACCTGATCCTGAGACAGAATAAGAACTCCGTATTCCTTAGGCCCACAGCCTTACCCTATAAGGCAGGGCTGGGGAACACCCACCTGGGGGCCGCGTAAGGCCTCAGAAATCATTGGGTCTGGCCCTGCCAAGGCATCAGGGGTGAGCTAATTAAATGTTCGACCAAATGCAGCAGGCCGATTTTTAAGTTGGTAATCTTGTATGGCCCATGAATGATGTTATAGATATCCAAATGGCCCTTGGCAGGAAAAGGCTCCCCACCCCTGCTCTAAGGAGGCCAGGAAGGGGAACTATTTCCACTGAAGAGAGAAAGATAATGTGGCCCAGGACTCGCTCAGAGAGCCAGTGGCTCAGCAAGGAACAGAATGAATAAAATTTGCTCCTTGTTCCCCTGGTTCAAAAATTCATCTTAGGCCCTGGCTGGTGTTCTCAGTGGTTAGAGTGTTGGCCTGCACACCGAAAGGTCTCCAGTTCTGTTCCCCGTCAAGGGCACATACCTGGGTCTCAAGTTCTCTCTGTCCCAGGTTGGGGCAGGTGCAGAAGGCAACCAGTTGATGTGTCTTTCTCACATCAGTGTTTATATTTCTCTCTCTCTCTCCTCTCTCCCTTCCTCTCCCTCTCTCTTCTTCTCCCTCTCTCCTTTCCTCCCTCCCACTCTCTCTGAAAAGCAATGGAAAAAATCTCCTCAGGTGAAGATTCACAACAAAAAAATATTTTTTTTTATTAAGTTTTAGGAACAGACTGAGCCAGGCAGAACAAAAGGGGAAAAACACAGTGTTTATCTAACTTTCTGCGCCTGACTCAAAGGCAGCTGAGAATTCCGTAGTAAAAACAGGTTCCATTGGACGTCTCAGCTAGGATGCTGCAGGGATCACAGGAAATCAGAGGGAGGCCAGCGTGCGGACAGCCCAGGGCAGAGAGGATCATCGGAAACACAACACTGTGTGGACTGGAGGGCTGCGGATGCGAATACCCATGCAAGCCAACATTGTGGGTCCTGCTACATCGAACGGGGTGTATTGCATAGGGTCTGCTTTCCATACAACCAGATGTTAATAAATACTGCAACCACAAGTCGAGCTAGGAAACACCGCTCTCCGTGGTTAATTCCTCTGTTCTCTGCAGGCCTCCCCCTCTCACCGGGCTCTTATCTTGTTTGGCTGATCCTACTCACCATGTCCATGATCAGATGGCCACACAGAAAACACCGGTCAGCTGACTGCTGGAAGCCAGAGTACTGCAGAGGAAAGAAGAGAGAGAGTTAACCCAGGCAGGGCCGAGGGATCCAGCCTCTCCCCGGCCAACCATGAGGATAACAATGCCGTTCTCAGAAAGATGTGTCATTCTGCTCAGGAATCTGTCATTTCCCCGAGGACAACACAGCTGTGTGATGACTCATGGAATCATTTCTGTCACAAAAGCCATGACGCATACGAATACCACTTGCCCTGGGCACCCATGGCATGGCAGAGAGGCCTGAATCCCAGCAGGCCGTTCTAAGAGGAGTTCCCAGGCATCACCTACAAACTCTAAAAAATGCAAATGATTAGGATATACAGCCCAACTGGAAACTCAGGGGGTGGGGCCCAGAATCTGTGTTTTCCTTCGAAGGATTCTGATGCATGGTCAAGTTTGAGACCACCACTCCAATGAATCCTAAAACAATTCTGCAGCATACATGTTAACCGTTTCTCAAAAGGGAAGCTCAGAGAGGTTACGTGACCTTCTCGAGGTCACACAGCCTCTAAGGGGTAAGGACAGGATTCAAATTCAAGTCAGTTTCTGGTTAAAAGGCCAATGCCTTTTACAGTTAGCTTCAAAGAAACCCGGTAAGTGTTATCTACCTTACACACACACACACAAGCAGCAGGAGTCTTAAAAGAAACGAGGAACTCTCTTCAGAAAACATACGAGATACTACACCCTGGGACAGGGGTCCTCAAACTATGGCCCGCGGGCCACATGCGGCCCGCTGAAAACATTTATCAGGCCCGCCGGGTGTTTTTGCTGCCGCTGTGCGCATAGGAATTTGTTCATAGTTTTTTTTTTTAAACTATAGTCCGGCCCTCCAACGGTCTGAGGGACAGTGAACTGGCCCCCTGTTTAAAAAGTTTGAGGACCCCTGCCCTGGGAGATAGTAGAGTTTCGATATTGCAAATATTACTTAACGGGGGAAATGTCATGGAAAGGAAGGTGGGGAAGAAAAAGGGAAACTTTCTGCAACTCCCCACCAGTTGTGGCTTCTGCTGTCTGGCACCTTCTCCCGTTCTAGGGGTAACAGCAGCTCTGCATTTTCACTGGGGACCCCACCACTCCTGTGGGACTGACCCCCTACTGTGTTCCAAGGTGGGGCACAGACTCGGCCCCGGCCAATCAGAGCCTCGCATTTCGCCAGCACCAATGACTTTGCCCAAGGATGGCCATGAGACCCAACCAGAGCCATGGAGACCCCAGGCACTGCCCGGCCAGGCTCTGAACGAACGCGGGGCCCGCCCATCAGGCCATCGCTTAGGGCCCACCCGAGTCTGACACTCACACAGAGAGAGCTCGAGGCGGGGCCAGAAAGAGAAAATGACTCCCGGGGGCCTTGCTGGGGTGAATTGCCTTTTGGCCTAAGCCAGCTTGGGTGTGCGTGTCTGTGCCCGGCAAACATGAGTCACAGGCATCCATCCACACAAGGAAGCTGGCCCGGCCCCTCTGGGTCTCTGGGTCTCACAGTCCTCAGCCCTGAAACGCAGGCTCAGTTCAGCTCCCTTTCCCGGCCGCCCTCTATGCTCAGCACTGAGCTCGGATCTCAGGGCCTGAAGGTGGAGAAGCACGCTCATCCCTCCCGAGGGGCTACAGTCTCCACAGTCCGGAGGGGGAGGCTTGTAAAGGGACTTGATGCTGTGTGTTAACTGTCTGCCAGGGTGGGGGGCTGCATGGAGGAGGCGAGCCCGTGTCGGGGCAGGAGGGACAAGGAAGGCTGCGGGAGTTACCCCGGCAAAGAAAGGGTGAAGACATTCCAAGCAGAGGAGAGGGCACAAGCTAAGGCAGGAAGGGAGGCTGGCCGGCGGGCAGAGCATGGCAAGTGCAGAATGAGTGAGTCACAGGCTGGGAGGGGCAGGCTCCTGACGCGGACAGCTTTTCTGCACATGCTCTCACCCTGGGGGTGCACCCAAAGGCCGGGTGCACGGGCAGATAGTGTGGAGGAGGGCACCGGGCCATCCGGGCTGGGCCACGCTGCCATTGCCAGCTAAGCAGGCCCAGGGAGGGCCTGGTGGCACGAGGCTGTGTGTGTGGCTGCATTGGGACCGGCGGGAAGAAGGAGGGGACAGGGGGAACCTAGGACACAGTTCTCCGAGGTGAGGACCCAAGGCAAGGTGATGTTTCTGCTTCTGGAAAGTGGAGTGGGAGGAGCTGGGGGGCAGCCGGGACTGTCCTGTGGGCGGTGGGATGTCAGCAGCTGGCCTCAGAGGTGACAGGGCTGCACACAGAGGGACTGTGCATGCGTGGGGGAGGCTGGGTCCGTGGAGGGCAGGCAGAGGGAGACGTGAGGAAGGCCTGCATCCCAGTCCGGAGGTTTTTTTGGGATAAGGGATGGAGTAGGCAGAAGTGGGCAAAGCAACAAGAGGACAGGCCGAGTGACCCTCAAGTCCCTTCAAAGCACAAAGCTCCGTGGCTTGTCGTTTGCCTCGGGCACACGGGCCACCCCACGCATCTCCAGAAGGAGGGTCAGGGCCTCTTTCGGGAGCAGAGCGGCCACCCTCCTCTCCCGGCCGGGCCTCCCGCGTGCTGCCCCCACCCCCCCCACCCCACCCCTGACCCCCGCTCTGGCAGGACTGTGGGGAGGGAGGCCTGGGGGTCAAACTCACCAGGAAGTCTTCCTCACAAAACACTTTGCCGTTGACGAAATAAAAGGCTTTTCCTCTCAGCTTCCGGCCTAAGGGAAAAAATTCAAATTAAAATAATGTCCCTTGCTGAGTCAGACCAGCAGTGGTTAGCGAGAACAGCACTAATAATGACACTGGCAGGCAGACATTCCCCGCCACGAGGGTGTTTGTTTGTTTTTAAGTTAAGTGTTTATTGTTGAAAGTATCACCTATGTTCCCCCCACCTCCACCCCTTCTTGGAGCAAGGTTGTGAGAGAAAATCTGGTATGAAATATTCATAGAATTTAGAAAGTTCAGATGATTTTGACCCAAAAATTCTACTGCAAGACAATAAATAATCAAAGTTCAATTGTTTAAAGGCTCTTCATTCCGGCATCATTTATAACATCTATGAGAAATGAGCGGCGTTTAATTCTTATAAAATAAACGACAGCATCTATTCTATTAGGCAGCCATAAAAAAGGATTGTTTTCAAAAAGAGATGTAAGGACCCAGTGACATACTTAAAATTCTTTAAAAGGGGAGGGAGGTATAAAAGTACGTGTGACTGTGTGTGCATATACCTGGATATACAAACTCACACACGTATATGATTGCAAAACTGTATGTGCGCTCACACACTTCAGATGTAGACCAAATGTTAGTTACCCTCACTTCTAGAAGGTCCTAGAACCTTCGCAAGTATCTCCTGACTCTGCTAAACTAGGGGAACAAGACGAGTGCTTACAACTCCGTGATGTCAGAGTTCACGAACAGAACCCCCCCGGCAGCCTTGGAGGTTAAGTTTCATTAGTTTTCTTCATTCCAGGATTTCCCACGGGGATGATAGGAAAGGAGGTGAGGCTGCAGCTGCCGGTGAGGCCACGAGAGGGAGCCAGAGGCCGCCTGAAACCCCGCACCGGCCGTCCTAGAGAGGTGAGGCTTCTGACCCACCCACGGGGGCAGACACCCAGCTCTGAGCCCCCAGCTCTGAGCCCAGGAGCCGGCCCAGGGAGTTCTACGGAGTCTGAGCCCAAGCATCTGGGCTGGGAATTCCGTTTGTTGTTTTAATAGAGGGCGGATTACCTCTGTTGCAAAAATCATCGGGAAGATCATTAAGCATGCAGGGCGCTGAACCCTCTCACAGTCTAAGAAATGCAAATTAAACAAGAGCTTTTTCACTTATGATTATCAACAAAGACTTTTTTTTTTAAAGTGATCCCAGTCGTGACTGCAGCCATGACATATTTCTGTGAGCTACTGATGAGAGTGTAAAATGATAAACTCTCTTTGGAAAGGAAACTTTAAAATGTTTATCTTTGATTCAGTGGGGCAGTCTGGTTCTTAGCTTAGGGAAAGAATCTGACATGTGAATAAATATTTACTTCGATCTAAATTGCTAGCCTTAGAGAAGGACTACATGAAACAGGGCACATCTAAATGTGAAGACATTATGTAGCCATTTAAAATACCATTCGGTTAAGTGTTTCAGTGACACTGGAAAAGGCTTACACTATAGAAAGACACTCAAATACATTAGTAAGTGAAAAAAGCAAGCTGACAACTGTATTTATAGCACAACCCCAGTTCAGCAACTTCACACACACACACACACACACACACACACACCACTGATGTGCAAAAGAAAAACCTGGAAGATTGCACACTAAAACTAGTAGCGGTTACTACTGGTAGCTAGCGTTACAGAGAAATTTCACTTTCAATTTTATAAATTAAAAAAAAAAAAGACTTATCTACTATTATACAGCATTGGCAGGCTGTAATGAAGGGAAGCTTCACTTACCACTTTATTCATTTCAATATTTGAAACTTTTTTGTAGTATCAGGTACACAGGTAGACGAAATGAGAAATTTTACTTTTTGTTTCATAATTTCTATATTAAAATTTCCTAGAATTATGTATTGATAACCCCAAACACTTTTTAACTTAAAAAAACATGCTTATGTAATAATATGAAAAATAAAAAAAGATGTAAAGATTGTGCATTTCAATTACGTAAAGAAGAAATTCGAAGAAAAAAGATGAGAAAGGAACCTGCCCAGGGGACGGTGCCTGTGTGTGGACATAATGGTGTCTGCATCCCAGGGGGCGCGGCAGGGGCTGCGGGCTGTTCATGCTTTGTTTGCTGCTTTATACTTTCCTTCACCGCCCCAAGCTTTAAAAACAAGCAGGTATTACTCTGTTCATTTAAAAAACTGCCAGTGCCCAGGGCTGAGAAGTCCTAGGTCCAGAGGTAGGGAAGGGGCCTAGCAGCTGCTCCTGCATTTCCTTTATTAAAAAAAAAAAAAAAAAAAAAAAAGAGGCCTGGCCGGTGTGGCTCAGTGGTTGAGCGTCAACCTACAAACAAGGAGATCACGGTTCAATTGGGGCGTATGCCTGGGTTTTGGGCTCGATCCCCAGTGTGGGGCATGCAGGAGGCAGCCGACCAATAATTATCTCTCATCATTAATGTCTCTCTCCCTCCCCCTTCCTCTCTGAAATCAATAAAAATATAGTATTTTAAAAATAATTGAGGCCTGGCCGGCGTGGCTCAGTGGTGGTTGAGCATCACCCTATGAACCAGGAGATTATATACAGTTTGACTCCCGATCAAGACACAGGCCTGGGTTGCGGGCTCACTCCCCAGTAGGGGGCGTGCAAGAGGCCACTAATCAGTGGCTCTCTTGTTTCTTTCTCTCTCTCCCTCCCTCTTCCTTTTGGAAGTCAATAAAAATACATTTTTTAAAAATTGAGGACTCCCCCACAGACCTGAGAGGAGTGGACCTGGATCTGCCCCAGTTTCTACTTCAGTTTTAAAAAACCATCTAAGTTTTGACACGGAGTCCCACATAGAAATTTTTTAGTTTGTCTTTGGTCAGTGGGAGAGAAAAGCTAACATCTGTTGATCGCCTTCTGTGTTTCAGGCACTGCATTTAGAACGTGCATATATTAAAAAAGCTTTTTTTTTAAAAAATATATTTTATTGATTTTTCACAGAGAGGAAGGGAGAGAGATAGAGAGTTAGAAACATCGATGAGAGAGAAACATCGATCAGCTGCCTCCTGCACATCTCCCACTGGGGATGTGCCCGCAACCCAGGTACATGCCCTTGACCGGAATCGAACCTGGGACCTTTCAGTCCGCAGGCCGATGCTCTATCCACTGAGCCAAACCGGTTTCGGCTAAAAAAGCTTTTTAAATGTTTAAAAAACACTGTCACACGTCCCTTTATCATTAGCGCCCCTTTCTGTCCCTGTCCCTCCGTGTGCCTCTTACGAAGTCCACACGTCTCTCCCTGTCACCTCCTCGGGGTTTCAGTGCGGAAAGGGCTCCCCAGAGAAGGAGGCGGAACTAAAACCCACCCCATGTCCATCTCTCGGAGCAGCACAAGGAGGCAGGCACTGATTATTCTTGGGAATCCACTGGAAGTGACACTCCAGGATTGCACCCATCTCTCCAGGTTCCCCTTCCTCTTCAGAGAAACATAACACTCATGAGTTCAACATTGTCATCTGCATTTGGTAAATTCTGAGGCTCAGAGAGGCGCCCGGGGGGTGAGCAGGCAGGACGGGAACCCGGGTTTGTGTGACTCTGAGCGCATGTGGGTTGCACGGTGCCGTGAGCCCCCCTTTTGAGTGTACACTTATGCGTGGAATCCAGCGTAGCTCCTCCTACCAGGGAATGGAGAAGGGAATGTCCACTTTGACGCACTTTCTACTTACTGGGCACTTTACCTACAGTGTCTCCATGATCCTGACAATCCCGTGAAAGTCTCTTGCGATGGCCCACGTGTGGGTATAACTTGTTGGGACCACAGGCACGTTGAGGGGAAGAAAGCAGCAAGCAACCTCGTCCTGAGAAGCAGGGAGGAGGCAGGGGCACAGGAATCACTCCAGATCTGGCCAGTGACGCAGCCACCAACTAACCCGGAGATTCCTGGAATCACTGCTGCTGCCCTGGGCGCTCCAGGCAAGTGCAGGACCCAGAACCGCGCTCACCGACACACGAGCCAGAGCAGCCGGCCCCCACTAGGTGGCCCCAAAGCACAGCCAGGACCAGACCCTTTCTCACAAGTAAGCAGGCTCTGGGTTAGCAGAGTGATGGGCACTGCCCAATGCGGCAGCCATGAGCCACATGTGGCTAAATTTAAACTTTAATTAAAGTGAGATGTAATAAAATGTCAGCTTCTCAGTCGCCACAGCCACATTTCCAGTGCTCAACAGCCACACATGGCCACTGGCCGCCACATGGGACCATGTGAGTCTAGAGTTCAGAAAAGCCGCCAAAGACCTGGAGGCCAAATGAAGGTAGAGAGGGGCGGACGGAGAGGCAGCTGCAGGGCCACGGACACATTCCCAGCCGGTGGCATCGGGTCCCTGGGACGCTCCCCACGGAGCACGTGCCTGGGCTCTGCTCTCTAGATTTCAGGGATCAGACTCTCTGCCGGGGGAGCCGGGCGTCTGCATCATGATAGGCTCCTCGCGGCTGTGACTGACGCACGGTAGAGCGTGAGGACCACGGATGCGGGGGGAAGAATGTACACTGCATGTACACTGCAGGCCACCGAGGACAGAGCGGGACCCCAGTCCCCCATGCACCAGCCGTGCGACCACTCTGGGACTCCACTTCCTCTTGGGTAAGTGGGCGTGGAGCTGAGGCAAATGAGGGGGCCGTGAGAAGACACAGCAAAACTCCCTGAACACTGATTCATATCACCACCAGCGTCAGAGGCGTGCAAGTGCCGATGGAGACCGGGATGCAAAAGAAATTGTTGGTGAGGAAACACAGGAGAGAGTGGAAGTGAGGAGGGGAGGGAAGGGAAAGGAGAAGGAATTTGAAAGGGCCTGTATTAGTCAGGGTCTCCAGAGGAACAGAACTAAGTGTGTGTGTGTGTGTGTGTGTGTGTGTGTGTGTGTGTGTAAACAGATTTATTATAAAAGCAATTGGCTCACACAATTACAGAGGCTGACAGGTCCCAAGGTCTGCAGTCGGCAAGCAGGAGGCCCGTAAGAGCTGACGGCGTGGGTCTAGTATGAAGGCAGGAAAAAGCTGATGTCCCAGCTTCAGTTC